GATGTTAGCTCAGGGCCAATCTTCCTCAGCAAAAAGAGGAGGATTGGCAACAGATGTTAGCTCAGGGCTAATCTTCCTCAAAAAAAAAAAAAAAATTAGCACTGTCTGCCCTCATTTCTCGAATCCCGCTTCCCCAAGCAGCCCTCATCTGCATGGTTCCTGTTGTTTATGCCAAGTTCACACATTTTGTTTTCTTTTAAAAATAGGATCATATCTACGACAAACTCTGCAAAGTACTTTTTTCACTTCTCAATATATCGGACATCTCTCAAAGCTGATACTTATAAGACTCAGTTCTTTTCAGAAACGTGTAATGTTCTGTAGTGTGGCTACATAAATGTGGATTCAGGAATTCCCAGCTTTCTGATTTTTTTTCCTGCCATAAAAGGAAATGTGGTAAAATATATATTTAACATAAAATTTATCATTTTAGCCATTTTTTTTCTTTTTTCTGGTGAGGAAGATTGGCCCTGAGCTAACATCCATTGCCAATCTTCCTCTACTTTTTGTATGTGGGATGCCGCCACAGCATGGCTGATAAGCAGTGTGTATGTTCGTGCCCGGGATCTGAACCCATGAACCCCAGGCCGCGAAGTGAAGCATGTGAACTTAACCACTGTGCCATTCGGCTGGCCCATTTTAGCCATTTTTAAGTGTACAATTCAGTGGCATTAAGTACATTGCTAGTGTTGTGCCACCATCACCACAATCCATTTCTAGAACTTTCTCATAATCCCAAACAGAAACTTTGTACCTATTTGTGGGTTTTCTTTTAAGCTTCTCTGCTCTCTAGCCCCAGGTCCAAGGGGCCAGCCTGCCCTGAGGCCTCCCCATCCCATCTTCTCTCCCCGCTCTTTTCCCTGCAGGTGTGTCTTTATGCGGCTGGCCACCATCTGTGTGCTGGTGTTTACCCTGGGCTCCAAGATTACATCCTGTGATAACTATTCCTGTGAACTCTGTGGCTACAACCAGAAACTCTACCCGGTGAGGCTGCGGGGATACGAGCGTCCTGCTGGGTGGGTCATTTTGGGGTAACAGCCTCAGGGATGAGAGAACAGCCCTTGAAGCCATGGGTTTGAATCCCAGTTGATCTGCTTTCTCGTGTAGCAGAGTCTGACACACCAGGCACTTCTAAGGGCTTGAAAACCGAAGTCTGTGTTGGAGCTCAGAGTAGCATCAGCTGATGGCTTCCAGAAACAGCAGCATCTGGGGATGGAAAGGGCGTTGGGAGGAGTCTGAGAACCTGGCTTCTCTACCCCAAGGCAGGTCTCATTTTCTCTCCATCTCTTTGGTTTCAGTGCTGGGAGACCCAAGTTGGGCAAGAAATGTACAAGCTGATGATCTTCGACCTCATCATCATCTTGGCTGTGACGCTTTTTGTGGATTTTCCTAGAAAGTAAGTGTGAGGGGTGCCCCTATCTCCCCCCGACCCCCCCCACGTCCACTCCCATCCCCCGTGGAGGCTCCCATCACAGCTGCTCTTCACAAAGTGCTGGATGATTCCACAGTCCCTGGAAACCACTGACAACCATGTGGTGACTTTCAATCAGCTCCAGGCCATCGACCCCATAGTCCATTAGGTGCCCCCTCGAAAGGCAGCACGAAGAGCGGAAATGGCGCTGCTTTCCACGAGGCTTCCGGGGGGATGACTTCCAGCCATTGGCACAGCCACGGGCCCTGTCGGTGGAGACCCTCCAGGCTGCACTGGACACCACAATTCCTGATCTGGGTTCAAGCCCCAGCTCTGCCACTTGCTGGCCATGGGCCCTTGGCCCAGTTATTTAAGCTCTGTGCCTATTTTCCCACCTGTGAAATGGGGATGTTAGAAGTACCCTCTTCATAGTGCTGTTGTGAGGATTAAATGAGAAAAAGCTGATAAAAGTACTGAGAACACTCCATGCCACAGAACTCAACAAAATGCTAACTATCGCCGTCATGATCATCGTCACTGTGCTGTTGTTTTTATCATCATTCTCAGCATCTCCTTGAGCTTTAAGTGAAACTCTGTTCATTTCATCCCTTTTTTACCCATAGGTACAAATTACCCAGGAGTATCAGAGGTCCAGTAAGTCCTTAAAAATAAACATTAAAGAAAGAAACTGTTTTTTTAAAAAATTACACAAATATGACATGAATGTGTGCTTGTTAAAATTTTTTTTTTTTTTTTTTTGGTGAGGAAGATTCTCCCTGAGCTAACATCTGTGCTATCTTCCTCTATTTTGTATATGGGTCGCCTCCACAGCACGGCTGATGAGTAGAGTAGGTCCGCGCCCAGGATCCGAACCTGCGAACCCCGGGCCACTGAAGCCAAGAGTGCAGAACTTTAACCACTCGGCCACGGGGCTGGCCCCCTAAAATTTTTTAAATATTTAGAATTCAAATAAATACAGAAGTCTGGGGGCTAGCGAGAGTTCTGTTCTGTTACCGAACCCCTAACCCCCCAATCCCAGCCCACTCCTCAGAGGTGGCCATTGTGAACACTTTGGGGTACATCCAGCAGTCCTTAAAGCTTAAAGATAAAAACACACATTTGCATAAATGTGCGTGTAAGTGAACACACAGTCTTGGTGAAGTGTTCTTTTTCCCTGTAAATGGGATCACGGTACATACACATTGGTCCACAGCTTGCTTTTTTCCCCCCATATGAACAAAATAGCGTGAACAACTTTCCATGTCAGGACACATGGATTTTCCTCATTTATTTTAAGGACTGTATAATATTCCACTGGATCCATAGCTGATAATTTGTCAATGAAGCCCCTACTGATGGGCATTTAGGTTGTTTCCAGTATTTTTGCTAATACACGACAATACTACAGTGAATAACTGAGTTTGTTTATCTCAGGCCCCTGGTCCTAGGGTTTCTGTAAGAAGCTTCTAGAATGCTGGGATGTGGCATGCTAGGTGGTAAGGTCCTCATAAGCCATTTTCTGCGTGGATGCACGTTGCTTTTTTGTGCTGAGTGGCAAGCCCGAGCACAGAGACTGCTCGTGTCACGTATTGTCACCGCAACCCGGTGAAGTAGGTGGTGTTATCATCCCCCCATGTTCCAGATGAGAAAATTGAGGCTCAAAGAAGTCAAAGAAGTCGTCTACATTTATTTGGCTGGTGAGTTGTAGATCTGAGACTCGGACCCTGCTCTTAGTGATTCGAGTTGGCCGTGTTCCGCGTCTTCTAGACGTCGACTAGCCAGTTTCCGTGAGAAACGTGTGGAAATGGCCCTGATTTTGTGGACATCGTCCTGTTTGTTCCAGGCTCCTGGTGACCTACTGCCCCTCTTCGAAGCTGATCCAGTGCTGGGGGCAGCAGGAGTTTGCCATTCCTGACAACGTTCTGGGCATTGTGTACGGGCAGACCATTTGCTGGATCGGGGCGTTTTTCTCCCCGCTTCTCCCAGCAATTGCGACCTTGAAATTCATTATCATCTTTTATGTGAAAGAGGTAAGGAGAGGAGGGGCGGCTGATCCCCTGGACCATTCTTGACCCTGCAAGTAAGTGGGCACGCGTATGCTTGACGCCCACCCACATCCCGGCAGATGTATCAAACTTACATCCCTTATTTGATATGTTTTTATTCTAGAAAAAAGACTGCATGGATTTCATGTTTTTATAATTTCGAGAGTTTTGTTAAGAATTGTTTTGCTCATAGGATTTAAATGAGTTTAAGAGTTGAGTTGCAGTTGATCGACTAGTTGACAGTGGTACGTTTTGGTGATGTTTAATGAAGCATTTATTAATTTAAATTTTGTAATTTTCTGTTACATTTTGGAGCCAGTACATTTCTTTTCAGGTCTCAATTATTAGCGAAGGTCCTTGAACAGCTCACAGGCCCCAGGCATTGGGCCTGAACTAAGTGCTTCATGGGTGAAGTGGCCCTGCGGATGACCAACTTATCTGGGCTTATTGACCGAACTTCTTTCTTCTTTGTTATAGAGGCAATATATGCTCCCTGTTAAGCATTGAAGCAGTACAGATATGTATACAGGGCCTTCCATCCTTTCTTCCAAAGGTACCCTCTGTTGACAAGCCCAACATTTATTGGTTTCCTATTATGCCAAGTCCTGAGGATTCAGAAATGGAAACAATAATAGTATTAATAATAATGACAATAATAATAGTAGATGATAATAATGCCACATGCCCCCACTGTACTGAACACTTTACATAGATTATCGTGTAATGCTCATACCCACCCTTTGAAGTAGGTGCTGCTATTAACCATATTTTATAAATTAGGAAGCTGAAGTTCAGAGAGGTTAAGTAACTGGTCCACGGTCACACAGCTTATGTGACTCCTGGGATTTCAACCCAAGTTTACTTCACTCCAGCACTTAAGCCCTTAACCTGGCAAGCAGGGGCTTGAATTGGGCCAAACTTTCTACCCAGATGTTTTGGCCTTTGAAGAATTTTCTGATGCTTTCATTTGGAAACTTCAATTGGCTGAAGTCACCAAAGGAGAGACGGATGTGAGAAAGCTCCAAGGAACGTTCTTCCCTTCCAGAAGGTGTTGGTTAGCCAGTGCTTTCCCGGTGTGTAGCACGGTAAAGACAGCGTGGGGTCATGGAAGGGGTCCCGGGCGCTGGGCTGAGTTCTGACACCCCGGCCTGACTGGCTGGCTGGCTGCCCCCAGAACAGATACCAAGTGTCCCTGGTACTCAGTGCCCGCTGGCTCACAAGATGTTTCGGCCACTCTAAAGTCAGGAGAGCTCGATACCCCCTCCCAGTAATGTAGCTTTTCAAACTATTAAGGAGAAATTTATGCCTGTTACTGCACCCTCTCCCCGTCCCCACTTGATATTTCCTTCAAGCCTTTTTTCTCTGGATGGAAATATTTATCTTTAATATACAGGAAAAATAAATATGCTTGTAAGAAGTTCAAGCAAAGTATCTCTTAATTTGTGCTGTATTGTTAATGATCTATTTAATACATATTTAAACCTCTATAAAGAATACTTTTTAAAAACACTCAAATGAGATCATGCAGTGCAGAATTCTGAAATCTACCCTTTTCATTTCACAGTCCACACAGGAGCAGAAGGCTGCTCTCTCTCCTTTCTAAGGGCTGCCCGGTATTCCACTGTATGGGTGCCCTTTAACCTCTAAGGAACCCCCATTGATCGCTATTCAGGTTGCTTCCACTTACTCCCTGTTATCAACAACTCTAGCAGTACATATCTGTATGCATGTATTTTGGCCCATTTTTCCTATGTTCTCATCAGGATGAATTCCCCAATATTGAGGTCTGGATTAAACGTTTTTCATTTTGGTCTGTATTGCTAACCTTCCTCTTGAAAGGTCATACCAATTTACATGCTCACTGAAATTCGAGAATTTGCTCATTCATCTGTGGAAGAGGTACTCACTGCTCTTAATTTTTTCTCTTTCGTCCTCTGCCCTTAGATGAGTCTTATTTATACCTGCAGACCCTCCCCGAGGCAGTTCAGAGCATCCAATTCTAATTTCTTCTTCCTGTTGGTGTTGTTGATTGGCCTGTGTTTGGCTATAATACCTCTGACAATCAGCATGGCACGGTAAATATGGCTTTGTTTTCTAGAACATTTTCTCTGCTTCTTGACATGTCCCTCTTTTATGTTAAAGGGTCCATTACATTCTCTATTGGCTTTCCTCACGGTGGTCCCCCCGCAGAGGTCAGAAGTCGCTCCTGGCTTAGCCAGGCCCACCCTCGTATCACAGTCTCTCTCCGGAAGCTGGAATGTCTTGGTCCACTTGGTTGGCATTGTTATTGAGTGCGCCACTCAGGCCTGTCCTCCCCAGCTCTCTTTTCCCAGGACCTCTCTTCTAGTCCCTTTGGGATTGTTTCTTTGTTTCTGATTATGAAAATAATACGTGGTCATTGTAGAAGACTTGGGGTGTAGGAAAAAACAGAAAGGAATGTAGAGTCTAGTGTGGAATATGAAGAAAGCAGAAATGGACTAAGGATCAGAGGTTGAGGGTTCACACCCCGGTGATGCCACTCCCTAGTGGTATAACCATTTATACCAGAGGCCGGCCAACTTTTTCTGTTAAGGATTAAGAGAGTAAATAATTAAGTCTTTGTGAGCCATATGGTTTCTGTAGCAACTTTTCAACTCCACTGTTGTATCACAAAAGCAGCCTTAGACAATATATAAACTTACTGGTATGACTGTGTTCCAATAAAACTTTATTTATAAAAAACAGCTGGTGAGCCAGATTTGGCTGGTGGGCTGTACTTTGCCAATTCCTGACTTACACTTTCATGGAATTCCGTTTCTTCATCCTTAAAGTTCTTGAACTTGGAATCTGTCCCTCAGATTTTGTTATTTTTTAACTAATTTGAGTATATATATTTTTTCTTGTTTTTTATTGTTATAGTAATATATATTATATACATAAAAAATTCAAACAGTACAGAAGAGTATAAATTAAAGAGAAAAAATTTCTCCTTATTCTCACCTCTTTGTCCCACTCTACGAAAGTAACCACTGTTAACATTTCATGAATATTCCAGAAATTCATTGTGAAAAATGTTTGTATTTGTTTGTTTATTTATTTTGGTGAGGAAGATTGTCCCTGAGCTGACATCTGTGCCAGTCTTCCTCTATTTTCTATGTGGGACGCCAAAGCACAGCTTGATGAGTGGTGTGTAGGTCTGCACCCAGGATCTGAACCTGGGAACCCCAGGCTGCCAAAGCGGGGTTCGAGAACTTAACCACTACACCACTGGGCCGGCCCCTGAAAAATGTATTTATTTTTTAAAAACACAAATGGAAGAGTGTTGTAATCCTGTTTGGCACCTTATTTTTTTCACTTAATTTTACATTGTGCCCTTTTCCATGCCAGCAAATACAGAACTCTCATTCTTTTAAAATATTCTTTAGCTTTGATTTTTTTTAAATAAGAAATGCATTCACATGGCACAAAATTCAAAAAGTATAAAAGAGTATAGAGTGGAAATCCATTTTCCAATTCAATTTCCCAACTACTTAGTTTCCCTCGGGGAAACGGTCATCTTCTATCTGTGTGTGTCTTTCCCAGGGGTTCTTTAGTGTTCCACTGCATGAATGGAACATAAATTGCTCATCCATTTCCTTAAACATTTAGGTTGTTTCCAGGACTTTTTTTTTATCCCTAAAAATAGGGCTGGAATGGAAAATCTTGCACAAGGAACTTTGTGATGTAAATTTAGGCAATTTTTTTTTTTTTTTGTGAGGAAGATCAGCCCTGAGCTAACATCCGATGCCAATCCTCCTCTTTTTGCTGAGGAAGATTGGCCCTGGGCTAAGGTCCGTGCCCATCGTCCTCTACTTATATGGGACGCCGCCACAGCATGGCTTGATGAGCAGTGCATCGGTGTGCGCCTGGGATCCGAACCTGTGAACCCCGGGCCAACAAAGTGGAGCACCCGGACTTGACCACTATGCCACGGGGCCAGCCCCCAGGCAATTCTTTGTGGGCTTTAATTTAAATTTTTTTCCATTGTAATTTAAAAAAATTTTTCCCTACTTTTTATTTTGAAAAATTTTGAATGTATAGAAAAATTGAAGAAATAGCAACAATGAGAACTTGTTTACTCTTCACCTGAATGTCCCAATTGTTAACATTTTGCTACTTTTGTTTTATCTCTCTTTATGCATACATTTTTTTTCATCCCTGAATACTGGAGCACGCAGCTCCTAAGAATAAGGACGTTCTCCTTCATGTGTATCCACAATAACACTACCACACCTAAGAAAATTAATACTAATGTATGCCTGCCATTTTAAATTTCTCCAATTGTCCCAAAATAGTCTTTTATAGCTTTATTTAAAAAATGAGATCTTTCAAGTTTCACCCATTGGTTATTATGTCTCCTTCGTCTCTTTTAATCTTTGATTCTTCAAAGTGTCCACGCCAGGTTCCTCACCTCCAGATTAAGAGACTGGAGAATAGAATCCCCACATTCTGGATTTGTCTTGATTCTGTCCTCACGGTGTCATTTAACTTGCTCTTCTGTCCTTATTTCCTCTCAACTGGACGTCAGGTCTAGAGACTTGATGAAATTCCAGTGTAAGCATTTTTGACCTGAATATTCTGGAAGCCCATGAGGTCAGGCGGTTCCCCGCAGGTCACTGTTAACAGAGCCTTGTGAGCGTGTTGGGGGGGACGCTCAGTCTGTGCTGTGCGACTCGCCCTAAGTCCCGCGGTCTGTGTCCTGTCAGCATCCCTTCCTCGAAAGGCTGCGGGCCGTTCACCAACTTCAACACCACCTGGGACGTGGTCCCCAAGACGGTGAGCACCTTCCCCAGCTCGCTGCAGTCCCTGGTCCATGGCATCACATCCGAAGCCTTCGCGGTGCCCTTCTTCATGATCATTTGGTGAGTGAGAACCACCTGGACCCTGCGAGGATTTCCCATGAGGCGGTGGGCTCCTCTCTGCTGGGAGGTGGGGAGTCACCTGCTCCACTTGATAACTTACTGAACCTCTCTGAGCCTCACTTTCCCATCTCTAAAATGGGCATCATAGTAGTAAATCTTTCCGAGGGTCATTGAGCAGGTTCAGTAAGAACTCACATGTAAGCCACTTACCCAGATTCCCCACTTATAAAAACCCAATAAACATTGCCTATTATTACTACTACTGATTATTCACAAAATTACTTGCTCTTTGAAAAAGGAACTGATTACTGGGCAGAGAGAAGAGCACCAGATTAGGAGCACGCACTTGAACCCTGGCTCTACCATCTATCTATAAGCTTTGTGGCCTTAGGTCATCACATAGCCTCTCTGAGCCTCAGTTTCCTCACCTGGAAAATGGGGATACGAATGGCCCATACCTCATGGGGTTGTGAGAAGAAAGAAATGTGGTGACCCCTGTAAAGTGTTTAGCAGAGGACCTGGCCCTTTGTAAAGGCTCAGTAAATGACAGTGTTGTATATGAGGATGACGAGGGTCTTTGCTGCACAGTGATTCGTTTTAAGTGTTAAAGTCATTCTAAACACAAATGTGTATTGAGGGCTTACTTTGTATGGGCATTGTTCTAATTACAGTCCATTCTCATTAGTCACAGTTCCCTATTTTTTTCTGTAGTGCAAATGTACCTACTCGCTAAAATATTTCTATAACCCCAAAATCAATATTAGTAGTGGGTTTTGTGGTAATTTGTGGACGCACATAGAACAGAAGAAAATTTGAGTCACCCAACACACAAGGTCTCAGTCTATTCGGGCGGCTATAACAAAATATCACAGCTCGGTGGCTGATCAACAACAGAAATTTATTTCTCACAGTTCTGGAGGCTGGAAGTCTGAGATCAGGGTGCCAGCATGGTGGGGGAGGGCCCTCTTCCGGCTTGCAGACTTCTTGTATCCTCACGTGGGGGGAGGGTCCAGGGAGCTCTCTGGGGTCCCTTTTATAAGGACACTAATCCCATTCATGAGGGCTCCACCCTCATGACCTGATCCCCTCCCAAAGGCCCCACCTCCTAACACCAGCACCTTGGGATTAGGATTTCAATGGGATTAGGATTTCAACATACAAATTTTGGAGGACACACAAACATTCAAGCCGTAGCACGCATATTCCCAGCTGAGGCGGAACGAGATGACGCTCTGCCTTCTTGTTTCAGCTCTCGTACTGTAAATAAATATCTTTTTTGCGATCTATTTAATGCCAGGTTTCTTGCATTTTGGGGGTTGGAGATTTCACCGTTTTAAATGGCCCCCAAGCACAGTGCTGAAGTGCTGTCTTGTGTTCTGAGCGCAAGAAGGCTGGAATGTGCCTTATAGAGAAAATACCTATGTTAGATAAGCTTCATTCAGGCATGAGGGTGTTATGGTGCTGTTGGCTGTGAGTTCAGTGTTAATGAATCAACAATAATATTAAATAGGGTGTCTTGAAACAGAAACAAAGTTATGTATTGATCAGTTGACGAAATGTTGTGACTGTAGGCTCGCAGGAATCTAACTCCGTGTTTCCCTTAGGGCGTTGGTTCAGAATTCACTAATTCAGCATTCATGGAGATTTATAGAATATAACTACCACAAGCAATTGTGGTATTTGTGGGATTTGTGGAACTGATTATAGCTTACGTGCATTAACTCATGGAATCATCACAATCGCCCCATGATGTCGTTATCATTACAGTGAAGCTCTGCCATGTTGCAAGAAGTGGGCCAAAAAACAATTCATTGGTTAAAAGCAGGACACCTTTGATGAGGGTAATAAAATGACTTGGGGGAGCTGTGCAGCCAGCTAGCCTGGAATTCCAAGGATCCTGGGATCCGGCTGTTCTATTCTCATCGGTTCCCCCAGCTGTGGTTTGGCTGGCCCCATCTGGTGGTGGTGATCTCATCTGCCTTCAGCATCTTTGGGGGCCATTCTTGTCTTTGGCCCTGGGGACTTCCAGAAGAGTATGATAGACATCCACTCCAGCGGCTCTCGTTCCTTCAGCCCTCTCTGGAGAGGTGGGACAGGAAACCACTTCTCCTTCACCCAGGTTGCCTGCTGTTTTCCAGGGGGCTGTCCTCCATTCCACTTGCTCCTCTGTCCAAAGATAATGACTTCAACCACCCCCACTTGTGAGGCTGCACAGAAAACAGGAGCCAATTGCTTTTATTCAAAATTATATTATCTTAGGCTTGTTATTACTGGGTTTACTATATTATCCCCATTTTACAGATGAGGAAACTGAGGCCAGAGAGGTTCCACAGTGATCATCCATAGCCAGTTCATTCCATGCCGAGCCAACTTTCTGGACCATCTCCTTCTCTGTCCCCTGTCATGTTCTGTGTGCCAGGGGAACATCAAGATTTTTTAATATTAACTTAAAAAGCAAGGCATGAATCAGTCTCTGCTGCCACTGCTAAATAAAAGTCCTTGGGCTGTTTCTCCCTCTGCTTGGGAGAGATGAGGGTTTTCTTTATTTCTAACAAAAGAAAAACTGTTCCAGGCAAAACATGGCAGATTGTTTGTCTAGTGGCCCTCAAATGGTGCAAACTCCCTCGTGACTTCTCTGCCTTCTGTTACAGCCTTATTATGTTTTACTTCATCGCCCTAGCCGGAGCACACAAGCGGGTGGTCGTCCAGCTCCGAGAGCAGCTGTCCCTGGTAAGGAAGCGCAGGTCCAGGGGGTCATGGCCGGGGACATTTACCCAGGACGCAGAATGGAAGGTGGAGGACTTCATTGATGAGAAGGAGTCGATTATGGGAGGTCTCGGGGATGAGAGTAACAGGCAGAGGGTACCGCGAGGGAATGAGCTGGGCACTCCTGGGGCCCGGGAGGACGGGTGGTGTGGCTGGAGAGGCAGAGAATGCTGGAATATCAGCCGGGGTCACAGCATGGCCTGAGGGCTCTGCTGAGAAGTTTGGGTTTAATTCTGAGTGTGATAAGAAGCCATTGGAGGGTGTTAAGTAGGAGTCTGATGTACATTTTTAAGATCCAGTTCCTTTATTTTTTTGTGTGAGGAAGATCAGCCCTGAGCTAACATCCATGCCAATCCTCCTCTTTTTGCTGAGGAAGACTGGCCCTTGGCTAATATCTACTGCTAGTCCTCCTCCTTTTTTTCCCTTTTTCTCCCCAAAGCCCCAGTAGATACTTGTATGTCATAGCTGCACATCCTTCTAGTTGCTGTATGTGGGACGCAGCCTCAGCATGGCCGGAGAAGCGGTGCGTCGGTGCGCACCCGGGATCCGAACCCGGGCCGCCAGTAGCGGAGCGTGCGCACTTAACTGCTAAGCCACGGGGCCAGCCCCTGATGTACATTTTTAAAAGGTTATCGGCCGCTTTGTGGACAAGGGGCTGTGGAGGGGATGAGTGAAAGAGGCAGACCAGTTTGGAGGCCATTACAATCATCCAGTGGTTAAGGCTCCTTAGCCCCGAGTCTGATAGAGAATTTATTAGGTCAAAATAATGACATTTGTTTCCAAATATATTGAGTGTGCTCTTGAAACTATTTCTTGTTTAGGAAAGTCGTGACAAGCGTTATCTAATCCAGAAACTAACAGAAGCCCAGAGGGAAATGAGGAACCGACTCGACTGACAATGAAGATGCTGCTCTGTGTCTCTTATAAGCTTACCTAGTGACCTGCCGAGCCTGCAAAGGCCGCCTGACTTTTGAGCAGGAATTTTAAAATATATTTTTCTGGACTTCGGGCCTTTTCTGAAAGTGGATCCATACGTGCAGCTGCGGTGGCCATGTTTACGTAAACCAGCCCCTATTTAGGGCTTTAGTGACTTAGAAAAGCAGGTTCAAAAGCAAGTCTTTGCCTTAGACCAGCGACTCAGTGACGACTCTACCAAAAAACCGACTTAGGAAGCCGTTGAAGCTTTTACAACAGAAAATTGAGGAGGAGAGACCTTCTCTATTTTCAAAAGCTTATTTGTGTTGTCTTTTAAAGTTAACTGTAGAGGTTGTCCGTTTACAAGGCTGGGTTATTTCTTTTGAACCAGGTTTAGGTTGAGAAATGTTCTAAGAAGTAGTAACCCTTTTGCACGGTTCTGTAGACTTAAAATGGAGGCCAGATTTTTTTTTTTCCCCCTAAATGAGGAGAAATCCTTGAATCGTGATGTTTGGAACAGATGGTGGGAACATGGAGAGGACGGTTATGTAATTTCAGCTCCACGGTAGTAACACGAGAGAAAAGCCAGCTCCTGCTGTGTGAATGAGCAGCCTCTGAATGCCTGGATTAAGCCTTATGAGGATGGGAATTGCTGCTGGATGATGGCCTTGATGCCTTAGCTTCCTGGGCATTTTGCTGCAGCCTTATTAGTCAGGGGAAAGCTGCTTTTAAGGCAGTGAATATCCACGAGGCTTCAGTTCCCTTCTAGTCCTGAGTTCTGAGACTTAGCAGAGCGCCCTGTGCCCTCAAAATTAAGAGGCAGAGTTTGTCTCTGAATATTCCAAATGCCATTTCCCTTCCTGCCCTGAGGTCTCCATTTCTGAAGGACACTTAACATTTCAGAGCCAGGCTGGAAAGTTCTGTATATTTGAGCTGTGGCTTTATTGCATACATGTTTTGGGATGTGGGTTGGAGCTTCAGACCAGCCTGTGCAAGTAGACCAAACTCTAATGGATGCTGGCATCTTAAATGCACATATCCATATTTTTTGTTTTCTTGTGCTTAAAATTTTTAATTTTATTTTACAAAACATGCAGAGTATCCCTTAAGATTTCCGTTACAGTAAAAACCGTATGCAGTAAATACCTCATCATAAACTTACCTGAAATTGATAGCTCTGAACCTTTTAATAGAAGCCTGTTATTGTTTAATGTAATCGGTTTTCATTTTAATATCTTCAGAAGCTTTTTCATAGTACTGCAGTTTTGTAATGGACCGTTTGAGTCTTCCTTCCAAAAGGAAGCTTTTCTTCCTTTCCCCGGCTCTAAACCTTTCCTGGGCGGGGGGTAGCCTGGAATTCAAAGTTGGATGCAGGTTTATGAATGCTAGTATCATGGAGTTTTGAGCAACCAAAAGTTCATTCCATCCTCACTTTAAAAAACAAGTTCTAATTGTTGGCATTTCTGCCTAGTGCCTTTATGTATATAATGTTCTTACCTTTACCCTGCTTCTGAGGACAGTCAAATTGTGTGTGTGTGTGTGTGTGTGTGTGTGTGTGAGAGAGAGAGAGAGAGAGAGATGGAAGCTCTTTCTTCCCCTTTTATAAAACTGATCCTGAAATATGCTAATATATTAGTTTTAGTTAAATGCTGCTAATTTGCATACCTCTTACTTGAATGTTTTCATATATTTTGATAGCTTTAATAACCTCAGGTGATGTCTGTATAATGGTCACAGTGCAGCTGTCTCTAACAAATGTGCATTAAAACTACTGATTAAACGGTGTCTTGAAGGTTTTAAAATGTGATTGTGTGTATTTGAATTCTCAGAGGCTTCTTATCAGCAATCAAGTGATCATGGAAAACTATAACAGTTTGTAAAGTTGCTCTTTGCCTTTTCCTAGAATCAGAAGAATCAAAATTGTAGAAAATCATCAGATGAGTGCTCTTAAGACACATTGGCTCTGTTGAAGCCAAGGAGGGGTATATGTGTGTATTTTAAACTTAAAAGACATAAAATTGTTTCAAGCACTCCACACCCCACTTCCCAGAGGGATCCACTGCTAATGATGGTTATTTTATTCTCCCAGAAAATTATAATACATATTCAAGCAGATATATATGTGTAGTCGTATGTATGAAATATGTATTTCTGAGCCTCTCCTTTTATTCTCCTTAATATCTTAAAGATCTTTCCATGTAAGTAGCTACCTCATTCTTTTTAATGGCTCTGTAGCATTCCCTTGTATCAATGAATACTTCCATAATGATTCCCTCACTGGATACTTAGTTTTCAGCCTCCCCCTTCCCCCCTCCCCAATCCCTTACAAACACTAGGAGCTGGAATTTTAAAAATCTCTGCAAACATTTCTCTATTTCTCTGTTCTGCTCCATTCAGTTCCAGGCTCTTGATCTTAATCAAGGCAGCCTTGTACATTCTTGCAATCACAAAGATTCTCATCCCTGCAAAGAGAAGAATCCAGTTAAGCAAGTCTTTAGTTTGCATTAACTCTTATGTTGGCAAAGTAGATTTCTGCAGCTACCCACTTGCGTGTTGGAGAAGAAAGGAATTAATTTTACCAGGGCAGCATGCAAGGTCCAATCCCTGGGAAGATAGAAACTTCTGACTGTATCTTCTTTATATAGTGTAAGGTTTTTGTTTTTTGGTTTTTTTTTTGTGAGGAAGATTAGCCCTGAGCTAACATCCGATACCAACCCTCCTCTTTTTGCTGAGGAAGACTGGCCCTGGGCTAACATCAGTGCCCATCTTCCTCTACTTTATGTGGGACGCTGCCACAGCATGGCTTGACAAGCGGTGAGTTGGTGCGCGCCTGGGATCCGAACCTGCGAGCCCCGGGCTGCCGCAGTGGAGCGCGCGCATTTAACCACCATGCCACTGGGCCCGCCCCTAGCGTAAGCTTTTATTAGTCGATTCCATTTGGTTTATTTCTTTTCCAATTCATGAGATGTGCTTGGGGCATGAAGTGGCTTTGCTACTTGCTTAATTGCATGATTTTGTACAGGTGTCTTCATCTTTCTGTGATAAATTTCCCTTATCTTTAAAATGGAAAAATAATAATTCATTCACTTTTATTTTTGAGGATTGAATTAAGGAATAATATGCTTTTTCTTTTTGAAATTTTGTTTTCTAATTATAAAAATACTTGTTTATTATAGAAAATATAGAGAAGTTTGAAAGCTACAGAGAAAAAAGTAAAAATCACTTATAAGCACCATCTATGGACATCCACTGTTAATCTTGGGAAAATTTCTTTTAAGATAGAAAGGAGGAGAGGAGGGAAGGAGGGAGGGAAGGTGGGAAGAAGGGAAAGAAAAACAAGTTGGTATTTTCATTTTTTTTCTCTTAACATAAGTATTTTCTCATGTTATCAAAAGTTCTTTATAAACATTTCAGTGGGCTACATAATATGACATCATACAGATGGATATATATATATTTTTTAACATTCTTTTGTTGCTTAACATTTTGTTTCAAATTTTCCTGACAATAAATAACTGGGACATCCATAAGTCATGTCAACATTTTTTCTTCTTAGGGACAGAGACCTAGAAGTGGGGTTGTGGCAAAGATTTAGGACAACTTAAAGCTTTTGAGAGCCAGATTTAGTCTCAGTGATGTCAACTCAAATAATTCAAAATCAGTCTATAAATCAAAATTGGAGTGGGTTTATTATGAGCCAACCCTAAGGACCATATAGCCTGGGAGAGTACCTTCACGAAGGAAGAAAGCACTCCAAAGAAGTGCAGTGTACCAGAGTGGTTATTTACCATCTTCCAACAAAGCATACACCACATATGATAGGAATGTCCCTTTTACAATAGTCACGAGATTGATTTGCTGGCACAACAGATCAGCGAACACAGCAGGTCAGTGGTCAAAGGTGAGCACAGCAGGTCGGTAAGTAATCCTTAATTTTTAGGAAGAGATGCTTATCCTTAAAGAAATGCCAATATAGGGGGAAGCTACATCCCTATCTTTAAGGGCATCATTCTTGTCTTTGGGACATTGTAAACCTTTAAAGCAGATGTACAATGCATGCTCAACAGGCCACATCAGGCCTTTTTGGAAAAACGAGGTCATGCTGAATTAGTTTTAAACCAAATGGCTTCCTCATAGACTCCAATATATCCTACTGCTTGTCATTTATTCATCAGTGGCTTTATATGAGAATGTTAACATCACCTTCACTTTCACTAAGTATTTGGGTTTAAAAACCTATATCGTTCATCATAATTTTACTTTTTTTTTTTTTTTTTGGTGAGGAAGATTAGCCCTGAGCTAACATCTCTTGCCAATCCTCCTCTTTTTTTGCTGAGGAAGATTGGCCCTGGGCTAACATCTGTGCCCATCTTCCTCTACCTTATATGTGGGATGCCTGCTACAGCATGGCTTGATAAATGGCGAGTAGGTCCATGCCTGGGATCCAAACCTGCAAAACCTGGGCCGCTGAAGCAGAACACGCAAACTTAACCACTATGCCACCGGGCTGGCCCCTCGTTCATCATAATTTGAAATTATTGTAGTGTGTTAAAGTAATTTGAAAACAACTAGCAACTTCAGTTATTTTACAATAGCCATCTATCTTAAATGTTTTATAGTAACTTGGATTAAAAATATATATAATCCAAGAGTGTAAAATAAAAAATGAAAGCCCTCTTCTCACAATCCCAACCCTCTGAGGTTACCAATGTTAAACGATTTGTTATATATCCTTCCAGATATGCATTTTTGATTTTTTGCCCTCATATGTATATTACACATTCAAACAATTATTTCTGTTGGACAGATCCCTAGAAGTAGGATTGCTGTATCAGTGGATATACATTTTTGAAAAATGTCCAACAAAAAAAATTTTAAGACTTTTTTTAGAGCAGTTTTAGATTTCCCATATGCCCCCTGCCCTCACACACGCATAGCCTCCTCCATAGTGGTACATTTGTTACAACTGATGAGCCTACATCCACACAATGGATATGCGCTTTTAAAAGTACAATATATGGGGGCTGGCCAGTGGCGAAAGCGGTTAAGTGGGCATGCTCCGCTGCAGTGGCCCGGAGTTCGCTGGTTCAGATCCTGGGCGCGCACCAACACACTGCTTGTCAAGCCATGCTGTGGCGGTGTCCCATATAGAGTAGAGGAAGATGGGCACGAATGTTAGCCCAGGGCCAGTCTTCCTCAGCCAAAAAAAAAAA